GCAGTTCAAAAAAATTATTCTGGAATTTCCAAGTAAGTAAGTGCAGTTATAATATTTTCACCCTTAATGATTTTGTTTTCTACGTAAGCGATAAGTATCAGTTAAATGGTTAATGACAAGACAACCTCTTTGACGATGGTTCTAACTTGCTTTATTCATAATTGATACAAACACAAGGAGATGGGGTATAATTGCCTATGAAACGGGGTAAGATTGCCTATGAAACGTGTTAGGATTGCCTATGAAACGGGGTATGATTGCCTAAGAAACGGGTTATGATGGCCTAAGAAACAAATAAACAACAGAGACCACATGATGTGGATATCAGCAACAATATTTCAACGAGCAAACTTCATCAATGAACAAAACCTAAGCCGTAGAGTAATCCATAAAAAATGAAAAATTAAACCAATTGATAATTCTAAATATAAATCAACTTTTATAGAGATAATGGATTAAAAAGAGAAGGATACCAGAGGGACATTCAAACTCTCGACATCTCAAGTCGAAAATAAACTGACAACGCCATTGCTAAAAAAGAAAAAAGACACACAGACCAACAACAGTACAAAAAAGACAACATAGTCAACCAAAGACTAAGCAACACGAACCCCACCAAAAAGTGGAGGGGGGATCTCAGATGCTCCGGAATAGTACGCAGATCCTGCTCCACATGTGGCACCCGTCGTGTTGCTCATGTTAGTACAAACCCGGTGATAAGTCTAATTCGGTAGGTCACATTTTATCTGTTATTTTTGCATATACATTGTATTCAATCAAATAAATTAGAAATTTGTTTTTAATAGTGTCATTATCCAAGTGTGCCATGTGTTATAAATATTTTGTGAATTTCTTACAATGATGATTGGATGATTTTAACTATGTTTTAGGTCATCCATAATGTTCTCCAATAACATAAGAAAATAATACTGAAAACTGAGTACTCTAGAAATATATGATTTAATGTACAAAACTACTGAATTTAAACATGTGTAATAATAGTATTTTTAAAAAACAATATAGATAAAACTGTAAATTCTCGTTTGTATCCATATTCAAATATAAGATACATCAGAACACTTGTATCCTAGCTTATTTCGATTTTTTAAATCTTCAACGACATTAAACCGATTCATTTTCAAATATTTTGTATGAATGATAATTTTGTAAACAGAAAGATATACGTCATGTATAAATTAAAAGACATTTGCCAGACCCAGTTACAGCTAAAGAGAATATTTCATTGTTAAGTTTAGAAAATAAAATTAAGACCACGCCAAGTCAATACCTACTTCATAGGACCCCCACCCACCCCCTTTTCACGTGTTGTTAAAGTTTGACAAGTCTAGAACCCACCACAACGGAACTGTCCAAGTCCGGGTACGAATTAACAGTGCCAAATTTTTCTAAGTTAGCTGTACAATTGAAGTAGTATCACATCAAACAATCAAGTTTTAAGTATAAAATATGTGCATTTGCCACCTACACAAACATATTATTGCCGAACATGACAACTTATCTATGATATATATATTTAGACGAGACACAAACTTTGTGACAGTTTTAAAAACTTGAAACACGATCTTATTTTTTTTTAAATTTTAGTATCGTTAAAATTCGAATAAATTGATTGATTGTTGGTGTTTTAACGCCACTTTTAAGCGCCACATTTGGGCTACTTCGTGGCGGCCAGTTTTTATTGGTTGAGGAAGCCGGAGTGCCCGGAGAAAACCACCGACCTTCGATAGGAAAACTGACAATCCTAGTCAATTAAGATTGGAATCGAGTGCACCCGCACGAGCGGGGTTCGAACTCACAACCTCAGTGTTGACTGGTTATTGATTACAGTAGTAGAACTACTTAGACCACTTGGCCACCGAGGCCCCAAATTTGAATAAAGGATGATCCATAAGGCAATAAAAAAACGTATTAAGTCAAAGAAAAAGAGAGAATACCATGACCATAAGAAAAAAAAATCTGGTATTTTCCGTAACAGTCACCTTGACCGATGACCTATCGACTCCAAAAATCATCCAGCTTCTTCTCCGTATCTATATTTCCTTCTGTTATAGATTTATTTCAATCAAACAAGGGAAACTTAAGTTACCGTTTTGTATTTCTCACTATTTTCAGTATGTGACTTTTGACCCTAAATTTAATAGGCTATTTTCCCTTCACTATATCTACAATCTTTAAAAGTTTCTTGTAAATGATTAATCAAGCAAGGGAAACTCTGGTTATTACCCGGAATACCATTTTCCCAACAAATCTCGTCTTTTTCAAAAACAACGATGACCTCGCAAGGTTTCAATTAGAATGAATTTCATAACAGCGTGGACATGGACACCTGGTATTTAAATGTTATCGTGTGTATCACTGGTTGCCGACAACAAAAACTTCACGCAATTACAGTTTATAGGAATTTTTTTTGAATATATTTATATACTCACAACAAAAAGTTTCTTTTTGACAGAATGAGTATATTCAGATGTGATATATCACCAAGTAATTGAGAAAAAAAAAAAAACGTTATGTTTTTTTCTTGCACAAACGTTCTGTGGCTCCTTAAAAAAAATAAGAAAACATTTATTCGTTCGAGTTGATGTAGAGTAACCTACGATCAACTTTCGTACTACTATTATTTTTTTTTGGTAATAAGAACCCCGGACCTTCAAAGAAAATCATTTTAGTCCTCTGGGCTGCATAATTTTCAGCACGGAACAAATTTGAATTCCCATTGAAGACTCCAACGATCAGATTTTCGCGAACATTTAAATATCATTCTAACAAAAAATAACTCGTGAAAATATCAAGAAGCATATGAATCCGGTCTTGTGTGCAAAATTTACGTTGATTGGAGTCAGAGCAGCTTTTGTAGAAACATTGATATTTATTTTAAGGAGTAAATCATGAAAAAACGTTGATGACGTCATGGTCACATGACAAAATTATGTCTATGAACTGATAGACAAAACACTTTCAGTCAATCAGAAGACGTGTTACATTCGAAATTAAATTATTACAAATTAAGCAGGTAATTTCAATGAATTTGATCTTACTCAACTATGTTTTTGTTATTTGAGGACGCATAAATGTTAATTTGCAATTTCATTGATGCCGATTTCAAAAACTATTGCATAACCACCCCTCTCCCTTATTTTAACTGAATCAGGAATTGGAAATTGTACTCACTTCTTTTTCGGTTTCTGTGTTTCAATATATATCCCGGAATTTAGTATGTTCACAAGACTAAACTGGTCAACTGTAACACGAGATAATGTACAGGTTATTATGTCAACATAACCCGTAACAATGTAATAATAACCTTTAAACTGGGTGCACTCGTTTAGTTATTCTAGTATAAAAGGTATTGTGAACATATTTAATTCATGGATAGATACTGAATTACAAATTAAACAAATTAAGTACAATTCCAAATTAAATTGATTTGATCCATCCATTCGTTTTTCGACACAATGTTAATTATCAGGTGTCCATGTCCACACTGTTATGCAATTCATTCTATATTAAGGACGAGAAACTCAAGTTACCATCTGGTACCTACTTTTCACAAAAGGAAATCTATTTTTAATAACAACAACCTTGGCCTTTGATATATTGACCCCGTAGTCAAAAGGCTTCTCTCCCTTTCATAGATCTCCTATCTATATAAGACTCATAAGTTTTATCAAAATTAAGCAAAGGAAAATCAAGTTACCATCCGCGAATTATTTTTCCTAAAATGTTTTATTTTACTTACTGTGACTTCTCTCCACCTATTGCAACCTATTCAAAATTCGGACCAAATTGCAATTTGTTTTATAAAACCAAACTGTTCAACTGGTCAGAAATTTGAACAAACTGCTGTAGAAATCCACAGTCAAGTCGTGAAAGTGCAAGGTGATCAAATAAAGCATATTTACAATCCTATAAGACTTTAATTCCACTTCAATGATATTATGAACTAGAGGCTCTCAAAAGCCTTTGTTGCTCACCTGACTCTACTTTGGTTTTAGAATTCATGTAAAGATAGATAAAAATCATAACAGATACCCAAATAATGATTGAGGCCAAATTTGGTTAAATATTGGTCCCGTTATTTAATAAAATATCCTGGTGGCCATCTTGAACAGTAAATCGGCAACAAAGTAGCAACACTTGGTCAGCACCTCATAAGGAACATTCATGCCATGTTTGGTTTCAATCCATTCAGTGGTACTCTAAAAGAAAACATTTGTATGTATTTCCCATAGGGTCCGATGTTAAACTTAGTCCCCCGCTGGCGGCCATCTTGGATGATGGATCGGCTGCAAAGTAACAACACTTGGTCAGCACCTCATAAGGAACATTCATACCATGTTTGGTTTCATTCCATTCAGTGGTTTTCTAAAGGAAGACATTTGTATGTATTTCCCATAGGGTCCTATGTTAAATTAAGTCCCCCGCTGGCGGCCATCTTGGATGATTGAACGACTGCAAAGTAACAACACTTGGTCAGCATCTCATAAGGAACATTCATGCCATGTTTGTTTCAATCCATTCAGTGGTTCTCTAAAAGAAGACATTTGTATGTATTTCCCATAGGGTCCTATGTTAAACTAAGTCCCCCGTTGGCGACCATCTTGGATGATGGATCGGCTGCAAAGAAACAACACTTGGTCAAAACCCCATAAGAAACATTCATGCCATGTTTGGTTTCATTCCATTCAGTGGTTCTCTAAAAGAGGACATTTGTATGTATTTCCCGTAAGGTCCTATGTTAAACTAAGTCCCCCGCTGGCGGCCATCTTGGATGATGGATCGGCTAAAAAGTAACAACACTTGGTCAGCACCTCATAAGGAACATTCATACCATGTTTGGTGTCATTCCATTCAGTGGTTCTCTAGAAGTTCAAAATGTAAAAAGTTAACGACGACGACGACGACGGACGCCAAGTGATGAGAAAAGCTCACTTGGCCCTTTTGGCCAGGTGAGCTAAAAATCAATCTAACAATTTGTATATACAAATTTTATTGTAATTGTCATGCTAAAAGTGATAGGTAGAAATTTTGAATTGCTATAAAAATGTCCAAAATAAGCTTTCATACAATTTTTCTTTCGAAAAATCTTCTATATTCATAAGAATTAGACATCATTTGAATTAAAACATACTTATATTCAGTAAAATATTGCAACGTAAATGGGTTTTCGTGTGTAAACGGATTTTCCTTTCATAATTTGTCTCACGACACTATACCCCGCTAGCTCAGCCGTTTAAGTTACTGGTAGAGAGGGTTCGGCCTGTGCTTTCGCTCCAGGACTTCGGACAGCATACTGACAATACAAAGGGACAATAAATTCAACAAATCAAGTTCGTGACGTCCCACCTTCCGAGATAAAATAAATATACCCACCGGTTCCCACCGACTTTGTTAGACTGGAACATGAACCTCGTAATTCCATGAACTAGGGAACAAAATCAATCCAGTAAAAAAAAACATCGCATTCAATCTATTCCCGTTTAATTTTCGGTCTAACCAGAGCAATGTCTGAAACACATTTTTCAATATCATTGACCAGTTCAAGACCTTAAATAAAACATGCGACAATACAAAATTCCATTTTAGAGTAAGGCACGAACAATTCCGAAGATTGGCGACCGTTACTCTAAAATATCCCTCGGATTAACCATCTTTCTAAATATCGCTATCAAAATGAACCCCATCTCTTTATAAACCTGAAATCATAAAAAATCTAGCTAGTGTACAATTCCTTTTATTTATTTTGGAACGGAAACGTAAATTAATAATTTAGAAATGTTTTGACTCTAAAACCGAAAAGAAATATATCAAATGTAAAGTAAGAAATATTTAAGTCAAACATTGAAATACGAATAAAATGAAATTTAAAGTACGACTTACCAGTACGAAATTTTTCCCCAATCTAAAGAAATATTGTCCAGACGAGGTTTAAATATCCAAGTCTGGACATTGCGTCTCAAGCACGAGAAAAACGATCCCCGCGAAAAATGAACGGACAAACAAGTTATATATATAATATCTAAAAATAGAAAAAGGGGAATTTACGATGACCCATAAACGTTGCTATAACCCCCTACCCAGAAAAACAAATCGTCCGCGATTTGACAACAAAGTAAGACAATTTAAAGGACAAGACACGGTTGTCTTAAAACAGATGAAAATGTACATTGTATATAATTTAAAAGTTCAAAAAGTTCATCAAAGTCTAAATGTTGATAAATGTCCATGAAGGTCCATGCGGTGATGAAAGTCCAAACGGTGATGAAGGTCCAAACGGTGATGAAAGTCCAAACGGAGATGAAGGTCCATGCGGTGATGAAAGTCCAAACGGTGATGAAGGTCCAAACGGTGATGAAGGTCCAAACGGTGATGGAGGTGCAAACGGTGATGAAGGTCCAAACGGTGATGAAAGTCCAAACGGTGATGAAGGTCCAAACGGTGATGGAGGTGCAAACGGTGATGAAAGTCCAAACGGTGATGAAGGTCCAAACGGTGATGAAGGTCCAAACGGTGATGAAGGTCCAAACGGTGATGGAGGTGCAAACGGTGATGAAAGTCCAAACGGTGATGAAGGTCCAAACGGTGATGGAGGTGCAAACGGTGATGAAGGTCCAAACGGTGATCAAGGTCCAACATGTTCATTGTCGACATTGATGAAGGCAATTTCTTCATAAATGGTAGACAGAAATTTCCATGCGAATTAATATTTGGACCATATATATGTTCCCAGAATCTTCTATTACTCCAACAGAAGCACAAACACTGAAAAATAACAACTGACAAAGGATAGTATCAAATCATATATATATATTTTTTTATAGTTTGGAGATACCGACAACCACATATATTTACATTTTACGTGCAGAACACGGAGATTGGGGAATGTAGAAATATCAAATTAACGTAATTTTAGATACATGTAATCTTAAAAGAACTAAGGCCAAGCAATTGTTTTATCTGAGAAAATCAGTACCGATTACATGATTGTGCTACACGAACAAAATAATTATGTAATTCAACAGTATCTCCAATATAATATATACTATAAATCAATATATCTAATGCATTGAAGTTATATGAGTGTTTATGATGTGTGTACTAAACCCAACCTCAGAAGTGCAGTAAGCAAACCAAACATAAGAAACATAACAATCTCGTGCAAATGCTATTTCAAAGTGCATTTTTGTCACTCATGACTCTATATTTATCTATATGTTTACTGCCATACTGTGATTCTCAGTTCACGTATCAATACTAATCATAGTTGTACTACTATATTTCCAGCTTTAACTACTGCACCACCAAAGCTTAATGTAGCGATGTATGGCCAGAGTTTAGCTTATAAATTACATGCGTCTATATCCGGGCAGTTTCAACTGTATACTTGTTCAACTGGTCATGTGGGTTTATCAAAAATCATGTATTTACTGTCATGTATATAATTTTCATGAATATAAAATTTTAAAATAATGTATTCGTGGACTTTTTTTTATGCACGTTCCAAATTGGGCTCAGAACATTTTTTTTAATATGTCTTCACACGCAATCTACACTGCATAAATCTTTTACCATACATAAATAAACATATTCCATCACAAGACACTGTAAATCTATTATCTCTATTAAAGCGAGCACCAGTGGATGGCTAACTTCCACAACTAAACTTTCAAAAATCCTTTTTACATGAAAAAAAAAACATATCCCGTTACTACCTTCCCAAAACAATTTTGTAAAGTTTAAATTACTCCCAATAAATACTTTTGACTAAGATTAACGTCCATGCACAGGCAAACTTGACCATTCACGCTGGACGCAAATCTGAATTCAATTTATAAAAAATAAGAAATCTGAATATATAGAAGAGCCCCGAAAAACGTATACTTAACCCCTAAATAGCAAAATAGAATAAATTATAATAGATATATTCCGGTATGAAGGCACCGGCTGTGTAGAAAACAATCCTACATCCGTAACAAGTCTACGCGCGGACTTGTAAAATAAAATCACTCATATATAAATTTACAAGATTAAACAACCTTTCAGATGAATATGACCTTTTATTAAAACAATCCACAAATAATTAAATTTGCCAACATACAAAATAATAAAATAATTCGTACCCCCTATCTTAACGAAGTATCAGTTCATGACACACAATGACTGTAAATAATCAAAATTCCATTATTCCGCACTTATATAAAATAGTTATTCAGCATAACGCATCCTTGCTGCAGTCAAGAATAAGAATCACAAGCGTTGGTTCTGACATTGGTCAAGTGTCAGAACCAACCTTTTAACATATAGAATGTCCATAGAATAAATCCATCAATATAAACGTTCGACTATAGTTATACTTCGCAGATAAGGGGGCACGACAAATACATACACTGTCGGCAAGGTAACAAAAACATTATGAAATAAACCTTTTTTTCTTTTCTTTTTTTTTTTTTATATGAACATGAAATGAAATAACATCTTTATGTTACACAGCCGGTTTAAAAAAATCTGACAAGCTATACAAATTATATTACAAGCTCAGCCCTCCACTGTCGCTACTGATTTTCTCGAGATAAAAAAAAATCAAAGTAATGAGGTGAAGTTCGAAAATGAAATGAAATGGTCCTAACTCTAGATGTGTCCCTACGTTGGCGCCAATTCAACGTAAACGGATTTTCGTGTGTAAACGGATTTTCCTTTCATAATTTGTCTCACGACATTATACCCCGCTAGCTCAGCCATTTACGTTACTGGTAGAGAGGGTTCGGCCTGTGCTTTCGCTCCACCTTCACCTTTCCACCTCCAGTGGAAGACTTCGGACAGCATACTGACAATACAAAGGAACAATAAATTCAATAAATCAAGTTCGTGACGTCCCACCTTCCGAGATAAAATAAATATACCCACCGGTTCCCACTGATTTTGTTCGACTAGAACATGAACCACGTAATTCCATGGACTAGGGAACAAAATCAATCTAGAAAAAAAAACAACATCGCATTCAATCTATTCCCGTTTAATTTTCGGTCCAACCAGAGCAATGTATGAAACACATTTTTCAATATCATTGACCAGTTCAAGACCTTAAATAAAACATGCGACAATACAAAATTCCATTTTAGAGTAAGGCACGAACAATTCCGAAGATTGACGACCGTTACTCTAAAATATCCCTCGGATTAACCATCTTTCTAAATATCGCTATCAAAATGAACCCCATCTCTTTATAAACCTGAAATCACAAAATATCTAGTGTACAATTCCTTTTATTTATTTTGGAACGGAAACGTAAATTAATAATTTAGAAATGTTTTGACTCTAAAACCGAAAAGAAATATATCAAATGTAAAGTAAGAAATATTTAAGTCAAACATTGAAATACGAATAAAATGAAATTTAAAGTACGACTTACCAGTACGAAATTTTCCCCCAATCTAAAGTGTCCAGACGAGGTTTAAATATTCAAGTCTGGACATTGAGTCTCAAGCACGAGAGATCACGAGAAAAACGATCCCCGCGAAAAGTGAACAGACAAACAAGTTATATATAACTTCTAAAAATAGAAAAAGGGGAATTTACGATGACCCATAAACGTTACAATATAATAATGTGAAATTTCAATACGTTGTTAGGAACTTTCCATGGGAGATAATCTAAAATCATTAGGGCTATTCCATTTAAATGTATGTGGGAGGGTAGGAAGGGAAGTTAAATTATTGAATGTGGGTCATGGGTCTTTTTTCAGTATGCGTCTATTACCATTATGCAAAATTATCTAAAAAATGGTTCTTGGTTGTAGGGATATTTTGAAAGTCCGTTCCTACCCTCCCACATACATTTTAATGGAATAGCCCTTATTCTTTTATAGAATATAGAAGACTTTTCGAAAGAAAAATTGATTATCTCCCATGGACACTTCCTAACAATGTATTGTAATTTCACATTTATTGTTATAAGCGATTAATAAAACTAGGTGTGATCCGTATTCTAAATCATTTGTCCATCGGTTAATTTCTACCGTTATTGATAAAGCAGCATGCACATGCTAGAAGATTAAAACTGTGAATTAAGAAATTATTGCGTGCATTTATCATTGCGATTGTTGGACATTCTACACAAAAGCGATTTTTGTTATCCCGATTTCAGGAAATGCTACATACAAATTATGATATCATAAATTAAATGCGAATTTTTATTATTGCGACACCTACAACGGAGTAACACTAACCATCAAATCAAATTTTATAAGCACCACCTTAAACACGGCTAAATTATACATCAGTCAAAAGGTCATCATCTGTACTTTCAGTTTTTTTCCAGTCGTAAAAAATCGTACGGTGCAATTACGGTCGAATCAAGATAAAAGGTCAAGGATGGACAAGTTCATTTTTCATTTGCTGAAAGATATTAAATATATTTGCACGACTACGAGCCGAAACTTACTTTGCTGTGGTTTTGCATTACAATTCTATGGTAGACCTGCTAAATTCTCATCAAATTTTTTCAGAAAAATATAGGTTGACTACCGGGATGTCATGTGTCCCTAATTGACTGTAAAATTGCATATCTTAAACGCAAAAAGGTGAGGATATATCAGCTAGGATATTAAAGCCAAGAATTGGAATCTAGCTGAAATAAAAACAAATACACAAATATTTATATTGTTTATTTAGACATACAATCATGATAAAATATATTTACACAAGTTTTGTCCATGAAATTGAAAAGAAATCATTATTGAATCATGGGATATTATTTTTTAAGGGTCAGATCAAAGTTTGATTTTTGACAAATTAAAAAGATGAGCAGTTTGGGAGTCTGAGAGATAAAATTATGTTAAATTTTATTTCTTTTATTCAATTTTATACATACAATGTACATGTTATTTAATATAGTATGCTCTAGTCTGTCTCTGTTGTAAGTTGACACATGGTCTCTGATAGGTCTATCAGACAGAATTATATTGTGAATACCAAAATTTAGTAGTTAATGTTGATTTGAGTTGACTTTTAGTGGTATCAGTTGGGTGGCGTGGTACAACTTTGCAATAGTGTGAGTTGACTTGCTTCCCTGTGGAGAACACTGAGTTTTTTTAATTTAAGACAATACATATGACCTACCATAAATACTTAAGCAATCTTCATAAAACACAAGACCTACCATAAATTCTATAGCAATCTTCATAAAAGACAATACATATGCCCTACCATAAATACTTAGGCAATCTTAAAAAAAACACAATAGATATGACTCGAAATTCTTAAGCAATCTTCATAAAACACAATAGATATGACTCGAAATTCTTAAGCAATCTTCATAAAACACAATAGATATGCCTCGAAATTCTTAAGCAATCTTCATAAAACACAATACATATGACTTTAGTAGCAATCTTCACAAAACTGAATATATATGACCTACCATAAATACTTAAGCAATCTTCATAAAACACAATTCATATGACAAACCATCAATACCTAAGCAATCTTCATAAAACAAAAGACAAATGACCCATCATAAATACCTAAGCAATCTTCATAAAGCACAATATACATAACCTACCATCAATACTTAAGCAATCTTCATAAAACAAAAGAAAAATGACCCGACATAAATACCTAAGCAATCTTCATAAAACACAATACATATGACCTACCATCAATACTTTAGAAATCTT